GAAGTTTGATTGGTCTCTCAGAGACCTGAGTCAAGAAAAAAAAAACCTAAAAATCAGCTGAAAAGGACAAGTGACTTAGAAATGGCCCTCTGGCCTCCAGTCAGCCCAGGGATGGTCCTGAGGAACTGTCCTAAAGCCCACAGTGCTCCAGGGCCCCTCTTTGTCATGGCTGGAGCAGAGCCGTCAGCTCCGCCTCTGTGTCCCTGGTCACTGCTGCTTGCCTGAGGGAGGCAGGAGAGTCTTGTCCCCAGCGTCTCTCCTGCAGTTGAACACACCCACCTCCAAGATCGCCTTTTCTTCAGTCACCACCTGGGGCCCAAGCGTCCCTGGGAAGGAAGGGCCTGGAGGAACAGGCTTACTCAGTTCCCACAGGGGCCTGGAGGGAGAATGTGAGCTGGAGCATCGTGGCCAGAGATGCTTTCGGGTGAGTCCGCATCCAAAGGACTCGGTTGCAGCTCTGAAATTCCAACTAGCCAGGAACAGACAGACACATGCTGTGCGGGTGGGGGAGGATGTGTCTTCAGTCATCTCGAACTGAGTCACACAGACCACCCGTTCTACTGCACAACACACCTGATCTCAACGCACCCCTAAAGTTAAAATGAGTTTTAGACAGGAATAAATTTCTAGCTATTACTTGAGCGAATATTTGGTAGTGGCTACCTCGGGTCATTAGCACGAGCTACCTTTACAAAGAATCTGCACACACAAACTCAGGACGTGTCATGGTTCAGGCTTCTGCAAGAAGAATAATACAATATGGGACACATTTTATAATTACCCAAAAAATCATGTACAAAGAGTGCAGGAAATCTGCCCACACAGTAAAGACTAAAGAATCCACCTGAGGGCCTGGATCCTGATATCCTGCATGAGTCCAGCTGGAGACCTAGCGCCCACAACCAAGGTGTCCACAAGTCTACCAGGATGGAGAATTGGAGCCCACAACCTTTGCCTCCACAAGTTCACCTGGATGGAGACCTTGAGCCCTAACCAACTCCTCCACAAGTCCTCCTGGATGGAGGACTAGAGCCCACAACCAACACCTCGACAAGTCCTCCTGAATGGAGACCTAGAACCCCCAACCAACTCCTCCACAAGTCCACCTGGATGGAGACCTAGAACCCCCAACCAACTCCTCCACAAGTCCTCCTGGATGGAGACCTAGAACCCCCAACCAATGCCTCCACATGTCCTCTTGGATGGAAGCTGGAGCCCACAACCAATGTGTTCACAAGTCCTGGATGGAGGCCTGGAGCCCACAACCAACACCTCCACATATCCACCTAGATGGAGGCCTGGAGCCTACAACAATGGCTCATAAAATCCTGATTCACAGATCTGCACTGGGAAGACCCAATGTCAGTGGTGGAAGCTAGAAAGTACGTCAGCAGGATGAAGGATCTGTGCCAGCAGGCTGGGGGATTTGAACTGGAGCCAGGAGGTGATGCTCAATGTAAGAGCCAGAGTTCCCCACAAAAGTACCACAGCCATCCTCAGGGACAATGAGGTCCGAGCTCCTCCAGCGATGAGGAAAGCTGAGTTCCCATCAGGAAAGCCAACATGACAAGCTTCTGAGACTGAGCAGTGCACCCCTCCAGAGCCAGGAAGCGATGCTCAAGATGAGGACCAGAGCTCCCCGAAAGTGAAATATAGCCATCCTCAGCCGCAACAAGGTCCCAAGCTCCTCCTCCAAGAACAGCCAAGTTCACCAGGAAGGCCAGCATGCCCAGGAGAACCAGTGGCTTCCAAGAGCTGCTCCAAACAGCCTCCCCGACAGCCTCCCAACAGCTTCTCCAGCTCCGCCTCTTATGCTGCTGCCAATAAGCCTCAGCTGAGCCTCCCAGCCCAACACCACGTAGTTCTGCTCAACTGGGTGTCACAAGCTGGCCACCAGTTAGCCATCCACTACAGGACCGATATTCTCAAGAGCACATCTCTCCCTTGGAGCAGCACGGCACACCTTCAGGCCGTGCGTGGATTCTCAGTGGAGTCACAGGAACTGGGTCTGCGATGCTAGACCAACGAGCCAAGCGCTCTGCTGAGAGCAGCTCTCGGTCTCCTTCGTCCTAAGCAGAGGCTGCAGCTGTGTAGTGTGTGCACTCCTGCTAGGAGGAACGTGGTTGAGGGCTGTGCTCTGGGAAACCCCTGTCCCCCCAGGCACCTAGCCCCGGGCTGTTCATCTGTCCTGTTCCCCCAAATGCACTTCATTCATAATAATACTGTTGGTGTTTTTCAACTGCGTCTATGAGAAACTCACAGTGACATAAAAGTTGAGTGGCAAGCACAGAGTTCCCACGGCGCCTGAGCCCACCCCCGTCCATTACTGACGCTGTTCTCCACAGCTGAGCGGCCAGGAATGCTAGAGTACTGTTAGCTAAATCCATGGCCTGTATCAAAGTGGATTCTGGTTTCTGAGTCGCCCAAAGCCCCTGCACAGCCTCCTGTACCCACCACTCACCACCCGGCTCCAGCCCCTGACGTAACTGACTTCTCTGATGTCCCCAGTAGTCTGCCTGCAAGCTCCTCCTCAAGCCGACCCTTCTGTAGGGCGGGCTAGCTCCACTGTGTGGCAGTGTCACATTGTCTTCGATGGACAGCCACTTCCAGGGTTTGGCTATTCCAGTTGTGCTGCTGTAATGGGGGGCGGTAATCTGTGTAATAGGACGACTTAGACTCTTGCAGGAAGACACCTAGGAGAGCACGAGCTAGGTGGCATGGAGCTTCTAGTCTTAGAGTTCTGAGAAGCCCCCACACAGGGCTCCAGTGTGGCTGTTCTCGCTCACATCCGAGCAGCAGTGCCGAGGGTTCTCTGTCCCGCAGCCCCGCCAGCACTTGGTAATATCTGATTTCTTGATGACGACAGCTCTTGCTGGTGTGAGGAGAGCAGCAGGATCTGTTGTCTGCTTCACACAATCCCCTGGATCTGCAGAGCAGCTCGGGAGGCACCTCTAAGATCACTAGCACTCATCCACTGTGAGCACTAAAGACACTAACCAATACCCTGCCGACCCTAAAGTGTCACCATGAGATCCGCCTTCAGGGCTGTCTGCCCAGAACCCACCCCAGAGGAACACGCAGCAGCAGCAGCAGCAGCAGCAGCCAGAACACCAGCGTTATGCCAGGGCTCCTGCGGGGTGCAGGCGCACCCTTGGGTGCGGGACAGGTGTCCCCCGCTTACCAGTGTGAGGCCTCGTGTGCATGGGAACTTGAAATCTAGGCCCCCTGGGAAGGATTTCTGCCATCCAAAGCAGCTGATTTTAAATTTTGGAAAACCACATTCTGCCTGCACACTGCATCTAACTACACAGAGGAGACAAAGGCAAACATTGTTTCGGCTGTAGCAGTCGCTGGGGAGGACAAAGCACCGACAGTGGGTATGAGCAGAAGCAGCCCGCACCCCAGGTGCTTATTACAGACCCAGGGCCGTGCCAGCGGGTCCTTTCGCAGCGCACAGGGAAGAAGTGACTTCGCTGTCTGTCTCTATGGCAACTGGGACCCTAATTTCACCTCTTAGATGGCAATTATACCTATTCACTGAACAGCTTTCAGTGCCTGCTTTTATGGTGAAAAAAATTGATTTCATGAAAATTGAGACTCAGGCCTGAGGTGAACTTTCCTCGCCAGCAGATTTTAAGATCTGTTTGTTTTCTCTTCCTTAGCATCTTGTCATTCGCAGGACAGGCAGATTCACTGCGAAGTGTCTGGCAAGCACAGAGCGCACAGAGCAGAGACACGGCCCGCACCTCGCCTTGCAGAGTCACAGCGCGCTGGTGCTGCACGCACACACGCACGCACGCACGCACGCGTGCACACACGCAGAGGAGCATAAACTGAGCCTGCTGCGCCTCGGGTCCAGACTGCAGCATCTTGCCAAAACACATCACAGTGCTTCTCCGTCACACACCCGCCTCTAGCGCTGTCTGTGTGACTTCAAAGGAATATACGGATTATTACATGAGACTGAGCTGACACTTAGGTCGACATTATTAAAAAGGAATATTCACATCTCTGTTCTCTTAGAATACGTCCTAAGAAAGGCAAAATACAGAGCCAATTCACAAATATTTAATCTGTATTTTCAACACTTTCTCGAAATATATACATATATATTTTCCCCACTCGTTTGTCTTCCACTCGAGGCAGTGGAAGGGCATTCCCCTCCCCACCTCCTGCATCAGAAGAGCAGGAGCGGCGAGCTGGGGTGCGGAGTGCTCACACGTCTCTTTCCTTGCACCCTGTTAGAGGCGGGCCTCGCTGTGCAGCTGCTCAGCACACATGAGCCTCTGGCCAGCCATGAGGAGCTTGGCTGAGGCGCACGTGCCCCCGGCTCATGGCCTGGCACCCCCTCTCTAATTAAAAATGTGTGCTAAGATTAAATGTGTTTCACATTTTTGTGTTTTTAAAAGGGGAAGGGCAAGTTGCCTGGTCACCTCTGGAGACCTGTTCACGTCTCATCCGTCCCGTCCCTGTTTCCTAACAACAGAAGGGATGCCACCAAGCATATACGCCTCATCACGCCGTGCCCCTCGGCGTGGCTATGCGTCAGTTCCAGATGATAAAATATAAGCGAGGCACTCTATGTTGCCATCATTCTCCTCCCCCTCCCCATCTCCTTCTCCCTTCCCCCCCTGGCTCCAGAGGGGCTGAACACAGATGTTAGGGGCAGAGCCTTGACAGCAAGCATGGGCTGTGAGAGTAAGGGCCACACTAGGGATGGGAAGCCTGGCTTCCTAAGCACTGCCTAAGCACTCTGCCCAGCACTCTGCTAGGCGGTGGCTCTCCAGGCCTCAAGCCCCGTCAGCCCGAATAGCTGCATTTTGCCACATCCAGTGAGTGATGTGAGAATCCCTCATTTGTCTTCTCACTGATTAGCAGGAGGCAGCCTGATGGGCTAGGCTGACAGCAGTGGCTCCCTGCAGGTCCCCAGAGCTCGACATGAGGCCACGACACTGGGGACAGTGCACACATAGACAACACCCACCGGGCGCGTTTCCTACCAGGTCATAAGCAGCCAGCATCTTCTTCTGCACTTCAGGAAGGGCACCCAGAGGCTCCAGGTACGGGAAGGTGTCTCTCATCACCAGCGAGACTGAGGGGCTGTTGTCACCAGTGACGAGCCTGGAGGACAGCGTGAGCAGGCACTGCTTCAGACTGGCGATGGGCGGCAGCCCGCACAGCTCCTTCACGGACACGATGGCGTTCTGGGGGTGGAGAGCACGGTCACATGCAGGCAGAGTGCACCAGGGCTCTGTGAGGAGCAGACTGGATCCCAGCCATGCCAACGCCCTGGGACACCGAGGCTGCAGGGGGAATGCACTGCTAATCCAGTGCATTCCCCGCCCGCCCGAGCCTCAGCCGCCACCTACGGCAGGCCCCCAAGCAAAGCAGTGCAGACCGCAACCACGCGGGCTTCAAGCAGAGCAGCAGTGGCTGCCCTGCAGCTGCAGCGGGCATGGCATCTCACCGGTCTGTGCACCAGGCCCGTGGGCCCTGGAGATGCCACCACCCTTGGGCACTGCCTGAGATGGCTGCAGCTGCTCCCCCTCTGTGCCCCTGCCCATGGGTGGGTGGCAGTACCTCATCACCCCAAAATACTACCACACACAGACACTGAAGATGTGTCTCACGCAGAGCTGCCTTTACACATACTACGGTCCAAAGAAATCATGTTCAATAGGAGTGACGACTGTTTTCCACTTTGTTAAGACTGCCTAGTCTGTAGCTACTAAGCAGCTCACTAATTTAATAACAGCGACTATCCACTTTTCCAAAGGTTAGGTTCTAACTCATCCTTGGCCAAAAATGCTTTCTGTTAAAATACATAAATTATGAATACTTCCTGGGAAGGGGCCAGGGAAATGGCTCAGTGGAGTAAGTGCTTCCCTGGCAAGCGCAAGAGCCTGAGTTCAATCCCCGGTTCTGAAAAAAAAAAAAAAAGAATATTTCCTGGGAAAACTTTATAATCAGCTTTTCTTTATAGACATTCTAACTATATAAGAGATATAAAGGATATATTTAAAGAAATATATAAAATATACTATACAAAGTTAGTATAGAAATAATATCTAACTAATCTAAGGACACACAGTTGTCAAAATGGTGTCAGAAAATGTCCCACAGCAGATACTGATATTTGGAGCCAACCTTAAAATAGCAGCTAAGGCAGCACAGCTCAGAGCAAGCGGTGATAACCCAGCTCTGCTGCGCTGGCTTTCTGTGCCTTCTTGGCTAATGAAAACCTAAGCCTGTTCCAGTATTTCTCTGTTGAAGTGACAAAACAAAAAGCGTTCCACAAGTCATGAGGCTTAGCGTTGCGGGCTCTGCACTGTGGGACAGACAGCGGGCTTTCATGCTAAGCACCCCTAAACCGAAAGTCTAACACCACTGTCTGCCCGCTGCACTATCTGACAATCTACTGAACCTCCACAAGTTCATCTGGTATCTTCAAAGTAGGGGTTTTTGTGGGGGACCACTCCAGAACACATTACCGAACCCGTGCCCTGGCCCTGGGGGGTAGGTGTGACCACTTCTCCCACCTTGGAGAGCACGCCCGTGTGATCCGAGACCAGCGCTCATCAACAGGGAGCAGCGCCGAGAGCCAGCCTGAGCCCAGAACTGTGTTCCTGCATCTCAGCTGCGTTTAGGAGAGAAGGCTGAATCGTTCCCAGCAAACTTAGCTGCTGGGCTTGTTTGTTCTCATAGGTCCTAATTTATTGTTCTACACTGAAACAACTAGAAGCTAAACTTAACAGCTATTACATTTGTCCTGATGTCCAATTCCCCTCCACGTCCACACTGGCAAACATTTACGTGCACACTTGCACTCAGTATGTCTGAGTACATGCTTTATGTCGCGCACGTTTTCCTAGTACATCTCGCCATCTAGGTGGACGTTTCAGTTTTGCTGTGTACTAAAGATGTTAATGGAGACGCTGCCTTTAACTAGGCGGATTCTCCATTTTACTGGCTTAGTGAGGCTGAGCTAAGCACGGTGTTCACAGGTGGAAGGAACAAACGCATCTGCGGCGTCGCGGGTGGCGTGGGACACAGCTCAGCGATCTGCATCCGCACAGCGCGCCTGACAACCCACACGGCAGCCGCCACGGCACAGAGGGCGGTCCCGGCGCCTACCTGCATGTTTTCTCTCATCTCTATGGCCTCCCGCAAGGGATGAACCGCTATCTTGAAGACGTCGTCGATGGTTTTGAGGCCGACATTCCTGAGCATGGTGTACTCGCGGACTTTCTTCCCCATCCTCACCGAGAGGCTGCGCTTCTGCCCCTTCCCTCCGCCGCTCCGATTCGTGATGGCCACGTGGACAAACAGGGTCACGTGCTCCATGATGTCGCCCACGAAGGAGCGCAGGGGAACGTGCCGGTAGCCCGGCTGCAGGCACTCGAACGGGATGGTGTACTGCCCTATAAACTCATCCCCGATGTAATCGTCGTCCAGAACCACGAAGCGGATCATGGCCAGCTCGGGAAGGTTGACTTGGAACTCGAAGGTTTCATCGAAAATAGGGTTGTCGCTGTTTTGCTGGACAGTTTTAGTTCTCTGCTCGGCACAGTCGGCCGGGATTCCGTGTATCTCCACGCACACGTAGGGATCGATGACGTCGCCTTTGGCGCACGCTCCCTTGGGCTTCGGGAAATTCTGGCCGCTGATGATCTTGATGTGCAGCGCCAGAGGAGACACGCCAGGCACCACACCCTTCGTGTTGGCGCTGAAGTAGGAAACCTCATCTCGCATGACGGCCGGCCGCAGGACGTAGCCGCAGCCCCCGTTCTGGAGGAACCAGCCCGTGTGCAGGTCCATCATCGGCCCTGGGGTCTGAAAGTTCACGGCCACAATCTGACAGCCGCAATTCCAGAAGTCTTGCGGGTTCAAGTTACTGGAATCGATCCGCATGGCACTTGGGTAGACCCTAGACAAAAACTTCTTATTGTAATTCACAAAATCCTCTGGGTACTCATTCGCAATCCGACTAGCCTCTGTTTCACTAAATGAACAAACTTCCCAATAGTTCTGGCTTTTCATAGACAGCTCAAAATCCCTGTACTGAATAGATTTACAAATGGACACCAAATCAGACAGCTCACGACAGAGCCGTATCTGCTTCTGCTCCCCGCTGTCGTCGACGGACATCCTGCGAGACATTTCAGCTTCTTCGTCCTCGTCTGTGACGTCTCCTTCCAGCGCGTCTGAGTCAGAGGGCAGTTTCTTTCCTTTCACAATGATCATCCTTTTTAACTTTTCTGGTGACGGGAGGTAGGATTCGGACGGCGAGGGGGCTTCTGTGTAGAGTTGGTCGCCGAAGACTTTCTCCATCTGCTGGGCCATGACCTTCTGCTGGGGCAGGGAGCAGTGGTTCCCTAGGCAGAGGATGAGTGGGTACTCAGAGGCGACAAAGGCAAACTTATTGATCACCTCCAGGACACTCTGGAAGGACAGGGGTGAGGTCATGTTATTTCGATTGCAAAGGATCGGTTCGTTATCTGGACCATCGCTCACATCCAGCTCGACGCTTCGACAGCCCATCTTCAAAGCTCTGACGTAGCCATTGACATCAGCCGGGCCCCGGAACTGGTCTTCTATTAGGTAGGTGTTGTGGGAAGCGTTGATATAGTAGTGAGATAAAGGCTGGCTCATGTCTTGGGCGACCTTCTTTTGCTCAGGATCAAAAATGTCACACTCTGGTGACAGTAAGTACTGCGTGAAGCCATCGATGGCCAGAAACCCCTTCTGACGCCCTTCCTCAGAAAGCTCGAACCTCCTGATGATGTCCAAGCACATGGCCTCTGTGATGTGGGCGACCCCTTGCTCCGCTTCCAAGAACAGCATGAGGTCATCAGCATCCAGATATTCTTTGTTTTTCGATATCTGCACAAGTAAGAAGTACACTTCCGGCCGAGTGCAAAGTTCACAAAAAGCTTCACAAAACTCCTCTTCAGTCACTCGGGTGGTTAATTTTTCTTTGCTCTTTTGGATTTCTTTAAACTTTAACCTGATCTTAGATTCTTTCAGGGTAGGGTTGAGTTGTTTTATTAGCTCGACAGCAGTGTCCTCCAACATAATGCCATTCCCGTCAACATCGGCAGCTTCAAACACTGTTTTCAACCACAAAAACCGAGGGGTGTTCTGGTCGTCCTCCATAGAATCCAGGGGCTGCTTACTGCGAGACACCAGGTACCGCAATCCAGACACCCAGATGTTGGCGACATCGGCGGAGTTGGCCACCAGGTCCAGGGACTCGTAGTTTTCCCCATGAAGTATGGAAAAGGCGCAGTCCTCGCAGATCTGGTCGGCAAGGCCATTGTTTCTGAACGTTTCTGTGTTCTTCCCCAGCCGGATCTCCTTGATGTCTGAAATGTCCAGTTTGGCCTTCTCCAGGTCTTTCTTGGAAGGCTCCCAGCGAAGTGCCTGCAGGTCAGTGTCCAGGGTGAAGAAGCGGTTGTAGATGCGCGAGTTGGGCCGCACCTTCTTCAGCTCGCAGCCGGCCTGCATGAAGCTGATGCAGTCGTGGGCGCTGCTTATCTTCTTCTCTGAGGGCATGCTGCTGAAAGACACCGTCTTCTTCCTCCCGCCACATTTCTGGTTTGAAGGATCCTGTAAAGTAATTAGAAAACAATGAATCAGGCTCTTTCAGAAAATAGAAATGCACCCAAAAACACTCTGGGGATTTCCAAGACACCAATGAGTGTAGCTATTTGAACAAAGGTCAGCCTAAAATTTATCCTTCACTGTGTCAGAAAAGAGGCCCTGCTAACAGATTGGTTAGGATCAGGCTGAAAGGAAACTTGTTTCGCAAATGTCCATGTGCGCTCTCAATAAAAAGAAAGCCTTAAGCACACGTTGCCGGTCTCTGCCTCTTCCAGAAGGATTTCGCAGGAACCGCTCACAGGACCTCAAACGCCATCTCCTGTTAAGGCCTGCAGACTCTGCACAGGTGAAAGGCACAGGTGGCGGTGTGCTTCCTGAGCCCATGTGGCCTCTCACCATGGCCCTTGTGAAGTCCAGGCCCAGGCTTCCGAATGCTCAGAACACGCCAGGATGGATTCCCTCTCCGCCTTGGGCTGATGCCTACATCTGGTACTGCCAATCCCTTTGCATTGCACATCTCATGGATTTCACTTCAAATCACATATTTCTTTAGACCTTTTACTCATTTTAATAATGCCCCCAATCATATTAACAATTCAAATTATTCTCTCACAAACAAATTTCCCCAAAGCATCTTAAGGTGCACTCACAGTGCCCAATTTTTAAATCAGCATTCCCCAGAGACAGCATGGCACCTACGGAGGATCACAAATAACTTGTCCAAAAAAAAGGAATAAAGAGGGGTGAGGAGGCAAGTTAGAGAGACCTAATACAGTGTATGAGCACACCAAAATAAAACCCTCTACTCCATGTGACAAATACACACACTTAAGAAGTAACTAGCTCAAATTGCTATCATGCCACTCACTGCAAGTAGGACCTTGGGAAGTCACTTAATGTCGCTGGATCTGACTTTCAGGTTTTCACACAGGAATTAGTAATCTGCATATATAATACACTGTTATTGTGCCACTCAAAAGAGAAAATGCTCCTGCCCTTCATGAAGTCAAGAGTGCACAGGGCTGCTCATGGGGAGAGAGAGGGGTACGCCACACACCCGGGCCACTGCCGGGAGACCACAGACAGATGCCACCAGGGGCCAGGAAGCCACAAGAACTGAATTCCTTCTGGACTTCTGAACACTAAAGACAAATTGCAGCGATGTACTGGAGATAGAGAACTCTGGCGCTCTTCACACAGCGCAGGGTCTCCTCCTGAGGCCCACTTAACTGGGGCTTCCTGTACTGTGTTTGGGGAAACGCAAAGTGATTTATTAGTTAATTGGCTAAAACCTGCCTGTGAAAAGGAAACAAACTTGCTTTAGTTCTGCGGTGCTGGAGGATGATTCACTGACTCAAATATGTGATCTCCAAGTGACAAGATATAAATTACCCAATTTAGAGTACAGAATATTGCTTCTCCCTGGCCTGGCATTTGGCACTTTAGCTCCTGCTTTCTCAGAGAATTGCTATTTTTAATTATCACATAGTGGTCAACTTCCTCACCCTCAAGTTAAAAAACAACCATAAGTGCTCAGCCTTTCACACGCATGTGCTCTATTAGAGCCCATTTAGATCTGTCTCAACCAGGTGTGCAGAAACAGCTCTGGCCGCGCTCCTCCACACCCCAAGGCAGGCGCCTGATGCGAGGCTGCAGCGGGCTGCACCCACTGAGGGAAGTAAAGAGGGAGGCTGCCCCGTGATGCTAAGTGAAGCCACTTGCCCAGTCATTTGTGCCAAGCTCTTTCACATTAATTTTTGTGTGTGTGTAAGAAGATCCTTTTCTTTCTGCTGTTCTTTTGAAAGGAGCAGTTAGTGCTTAATTTTTTTTCTTTTTATTCTTTTTTTTTTTAATTTCCCGCTTCATTGTGTTTTGTTTTGTTTTGTTTTTAAAACCAATTTTTCAAGTTATGTGTGGTAACCTAAACAAGTAATTTGAATTTAACATTATGCAATACAGCAACCATTGTTGAATTCCTATTACTTCGTTTAGTGAAATTTTATATTGTCTCTTTGTTGTTGTTGCTGACACAAGGTCTCCCTAGGCACTTCTGACTCATAGTGGTCCTCCTGTGCCTCCCTAGCTCTGGGCTTAGGGCATGCGCCTCCATGCCTGGTCTTGGGGCCAGCACCGCACACAGTAGCCAGGACCAAACTTTGGTCCTTGCACTTGCCAGACAGGCACTTACACCACCGATCTATCTCCCCAGCCCAATTTTATATCATTTCTGAGGCCGTTTTCTTTATTTCTATGTTGTATTATTTAAAAGAAAAAAATGCTTGCCGGGGGAACTGGAAAGCCCCAATAGTTCCTCACAAGCCTAAAATGGGGAGAGAGAGCCCCCTGTGTCCGCCGTCGCCACCATTGGCTGTCCCCCAGCCTCTCTGCTTGGCGCCAACATCTTCTTAAATCAAGGCTTCTCGCAGTAAGAGAGGCCTTAAATTGAGAGACTAATGTCTTTTATCAAGCCCACAAAAGAATCTACCTGCCTATGAGGCTCACAGGCTGCCTTGACCTGAGATTTCTGTATGATTAAAAAACATCCCAAAATGCCTTAAAACCTGGAATCGGGAAGATGTGATCCTTAAGTTGTCATCTCACAAGGACAATATCCAAAGTCATTACAAGGCCGCAAGTGAGGGGAAGCCCGGCTCAGGCGTGCGTGAGCAAATGATTAGCTCGTGTGCTGATGCTGAGTGCCAGGACTGGTTATATTAAAGTATGCTGGACAAGGTTCAGGGCTCCGGCGTTCCTGTAGTTCTGCCCCAGTGAAGGGAAATTTCCCACTCAGACAGCAACCACTTGCCACACTCACGTTTCCCACGGGCTTTGGTGGGCTCGGGGGACAGATAAAGATGAGGTTCCGGGGACAGGAGGGTGGGTGCTCCAAACCTCCTTCCCTTCTTCATGGCAACGATCTGCTTATCAGAGTCCTGGCCCCAACTCCTGAGTCCCCTGGGAGAGGTCTCAGCAGATGTGCACACAGAAGAGGGTAGTTAAGGTTGGAAACCATTCCAGATGGGTTGCAGGTCTTCCTTGGTATCTTCCTTGATAGATACAGAAGAATGAGGAAGGAACAGGAGCTCCGGGCAGATTCCAAGAGAAGCCAGGTTTGTCGTCGGCTCAGATGTGCTCGTCCCAGCCTAAGGCCAGGCAGGCACCTGGACAGGCTCCCTGTGCCTGAGCAAGGCTTGTCAGCAGATGTTTACAAGGCGAAGGGCCTTTCCATGTTTCAAAGCTCAGTTTCTGTACTCTGAGCGGAGGCCTCATCTCCCACCCCTCGCCCTATCTTTTGCGTTTCTCTAGGAACAAGAACAACAAGCCAAGCTCCAGTTCCTGGGGCTGAGCAGCGATCTGTGAAACTGTGTCCCCAAAACTCAAGGCTAGCCTCAGGTCTCGGGCAGTGCAAGGGTTTCTCGGGTATGGACACAGGCCTTGCTACTTCCTGCCATTCCATGCTTAGGTTTCCAAATTAACATTCCCAAGTTCACTGAACCAAATGGAGCTTGAACGGTCCTGACCAATCACCCCGCACGTCACCTGTCGATCTACTGTATTCCTAAATTAAATACATTATAAAATGGCTAACCGGCTGAATTGGGAACAGTTTCAAACATCAGTAAAAAGGTGCACATCTGTTTCTTTCAATGGGACAACACAAGACATTGATTCACCTACAAGCACCATTTCTAGAGTCCTCGGGTCCCAAGTGATTTCTATCCACCCTCATGTGACAGGATCGTCTCTAACCTTAGAAGTCATTTTGAAATATAACACAGAAATGGCCAGACATTGGGGATCTTCTTCATAATTTTCCACAACATTGTTGCTTAAGAATAAGCTACCGCCCGTAACTAAATGAGAGTCCTTTCCTGTCACAGCTCAATGTCTTAGTTCTCTAAATACTTTATTAAACTAAAATCATAAACACTTACTGACATGAGCTGAATTAATATGCCTGTTTCCGTTAATCCCCACTGACCTGTTTCTCCCCGAGCCCAAGCAGATTAGATATGCTCCAGATTCTTCAGCAAAACTCCACAAACAAAGCACTTTCTTTACAACACACTCATAACCTTGGAAAAATCTGCTTATTCGGTGCAATCACAGCTTTGGCTCTCATTCATGAAAATATTAAATTATTTCAATATAATAGTTGCAGGGAAAAGCACACTGAAGTAACCCCAAAGTGTGAGTGCATTCGGTGCTGCAGAACTGTACATGCACAAAATGGTAAATGCCACGTTATGCATGCTTGAACACACGCATGCATAAAGTATGCCGGGGCACTGAAGAAAAATGAAAGATGAAGGGCGACAGAGATAGCGCAGATGTCTAAGCACCTGCCTGGCAAGTGCAAGGACCCAGGTTCAATCCACGGCACATGTTGCGCCAGCCCCACGCCGTACCAGCCACCAAAACCAAGGCTGGGGGCACACAGCTATAATCCCAGCACTGGGGAGACTGAAACAGGAAGATCTCTATGAGTCTGAGCTGCGCAGTGAGACCCTGTACTAAATACATAAATATATCTTTAAAAAATGTGAAAGATGAGAAAAAGAAACACCGCGCCCAAGACTTCGCCCCTCTGGCATGATGCGCATGCTGAGCACCCGGGCACCTTCCCGTACTCCTTTTCTTTCTTGGCCAGTTGCTATTAAGTAACCAGTTCTCAAATAATTCTTCATTAAAACAGAACAAGTTTAGAAGGCCTTAAAGAAAAGAAATCAAAACATCGGCTGTTGAGCTATGATTACAAATAATCTTTGCTTCACGAAGCAGAAATCCAGCTGCAGAAATCCAGCACACAGAGGGGACATTCTCCATTAGTGTAACAGATGAGACTAAACCTTATCTTAAGAGAAATCTCTTAAAAATGTCTCAGTAAAATTTAGGAAGTTCTAACTAGAAGACAAACACAAGTACAGAGCTGTGAGCCTCATCATTACAGGGCACACCTCATGACAGCGTCTGGCTCGTACTCGTTCTGGTCTCAGGAACTTCCA